ACATAGGCTAGATGTCCATGCTGTAGACATCTTGACAGTTCAAGGACTTAGGGGGGATTTCACACGAATCTTAGTGTGATTAGGATTACCACACTAGAACAACGGGACTCGAGGTCGCTAAGCTTATCACGACATAGACGTGCTGGGTGACCAGATTGAAGGCACCGATAGCACTTGATAGACATAGGGTCAGCACCAGTAGAACATAACTGTGGCTCCTCATAGTCGGTAGTCGTATCACCTAAGGTGTGAACCTTAGAGGTAGCTGGCTTGGCGGTCTTATCATTAGACCTCAAGCGAGAATTAACGATCTCATCATAGAGTTTCTGTCGTTGTTCACGGCCTAGACGTCGGCGCTCAAAGTTAGATAGATAAGAGACAAACTTCTCATAGGAAACCTTAGGGTCACTCAGTTCCTTGTCGACCTTTTCTCGTAGGTAGTCGGAGTTGAGACCATCGTAGAGACGACGTTTGAGGATGTACTCGTACGTACGAATACCCATGAAGTGAAGTTCGGTGACAATAGACTCGAGCCTCTTGACATACCTAGCGAGAGACTCAGAGTTACCTTGACGACAAGTAACGAACTTGACTTCAGCTTTCGCAATAGCATCATCATTGTCATAGAGCTTGCGAATAGTAGAGCATAGCCGATCGAGGTGTTTCTCATAGTCGACATAACATCTAGTAGGCGGTTCAGTACCCTTGATAAGTTTGGCCCAGATAGACTTCTCCATATTCTGCTTCATACATCGGACCGAGGCTCGATTGGATCGAGATATCGAAAATCGATCGATTGTTCGGTGCTAATCAATCGAGGATGCTACGGCGGGCGCACGAATCGATTCGATTCGAGAAATCGATCCGCCTCGAAACTCAAAATCCATTGAAATGTTCTTTTACGTCGGCATTGAGGCTTAGTTCGACAACAATTTAGGACGGCTGCCGCAGAGCACATCCACGCGCGCGTAGCGCGCGAAAAAAAAATAAGGGTCGAGGCTAGACCGCTCAGTTGATAGCCACAGGCAGTGCCTGTCATGCACTGGTACCCTTACTGTCTTGCCACTCTTGAACTCAGCGCCCTATAAAGAGTGTAGATAGCATGTAGTCGATGAGTTAATTGCATATGCAAAATGAATGATTTAATCGAAAGGTCAAAGACACAATAGATTCTATCAAATAGAAGAGTATGACATTTGATGACACCGCTTAGTATGATTTACATACCATCGATTTAATCAACTCATATTCGACATTTATGTTCATCAACCCCATAGACATTAGGTTTCAAGTAAGGCTAGAAGTAGGGTCGCCTGATGCACCTCGACAGCGAAATCAAACACTGAAAGCTTGTAGTTGTGGAATCAGCCTCAGAATTGCATAATAATTATCACCGAAGCATGTGAGACTCACATTGTGAGTTTCTCACATCTACTTGTCATTGTCCCACAATCTGTATGTGTGACGAGTTTTGAGAAGTGCTTCAACAACCTCCATTCTCATTCTGGTGCGCTTATCACCTATGATATCCCGGATCTCGGAGAACAGACTCTCCACACATGCCGTTGATATAACCACCCCGCGTGCCACCGTTGCCGTGCGAGCAAGATAGGGATAATCCAGCTTAGCAGTATTCCAAAAGGTCTCATAGTCTTCACAATGCCCACCCAATTTAGCCCATTGCTTAACTTCTTTATCGATCAGCAGGGCTTTTTCATCAGCTGTTCTGTCCCTACCCCTCTCACTCCACCTAGGCAAGTCTTTCACGTCAATCAATCCTTGCAGGAGGCTGTCGTCAGCAATTTCGACCACTTGTTCTAGCATATTAGCTTCAGCAGCATCATTCTCGCTAGTACTATGATTAGTGTGTATATTGTTTTCGTTGCTGTTCTCGGTGATGAGCGACCATCCTTTTAGCGCTTCGATTAAGTCCTCACGGCGGAGAATAGACTCTTCACCCTTGATACGTCTTCTATACTCAGTAACCATTTTTAGCTTCTCTACACCTCTGACCTTCGTTGCAGGGTGCAACATTGCAGGGAGCAAAGCGTCTGGGGTAAGGTTACATATGACCTGCAATCGAGAGATCCAATCGGAAACTACGTGTCCATTCCGAGGTACCTTCAGGAAGAACTGCTCTTTGACGTTACTGCGTACCATTTGCAAATCCTCAAATTCTCCAGGAGGAGAAGTTTGAAGGAATATCCAGCACCGCTCAAGCTTCCTGAGGATTCACAGACTACTTCAAGGCGAAGAAAATGAACCACTCCGTTTGACTCACACAATGGATTTTACTGCCGTTCCCGGCTTCCTCCCTTGCATAACTTTGGTCGCTATGCGAAAAGGGATTAAGAAGCTACGAATTTGAATCAATAGCTCTTTGTTCGAAAGCAAGTTCTGGAAGTTCCTGAGCGCAATAAAGTTAACACTACTGGTTAGTTTTGGCCTAGAACAGCTGGACGCTTTCTAAGCTTGGATCTTACTAAGCTGACTTAAGGTATCACCTCGTTTTATTCTTTTCTCTGAGAAGTTCTTCAATACCCGACCAGCTCTTAATTATCTTATCGATCATCTCATAAACAGAGTCCCAGCGAACTGTGCTCCTTCGCTTTAGCCTGATCTGACCGTTGAAACATACACAGCGACTCTATTACTTGTTGTATCCAAGACGTGCTAGCTTGCCATTCAGCTTCGACCTCTTGAAGTACGCAACGAGGCGCGAGCTTGTCAGAAGAACCGACTCGACCGGAGCCGTTGCCTGCTCCTCGAGAAAAGCTTCAAGAGTCTCTCCAGTGTTCATGCTGCGTAGCGCATCCTCGCAGTTGTCTATCGCATTGTCCACAGGGTGTGTCATCCCGGCCTTCAGGGCGTTTTGCACCATATGTGCAAAACAGCACACGGAGGCCATATTGCCTTGCCCGAGAGCCGCCGTATTCGCCGAACAGCTATCACTGGCAAATAGCACCTTTTCTATCGGGATTTGATATCTAGAACATACCTGAAAACATTAATACTGTTCACTGAGCTTCAGTGATCCATTGCTCCTCGATATTATCGAGTCGATGAATGGACTAACTGGCGGTTAGTCCAAAAATATAGAGTCGATATTTATGGACTAACCATTAGTCGCTAACGTTGAGATTACCCGTTCCAAGCTTTCCTGAATGTCATCAGCGGTCATGGTCTCTGGTGTCTCCAGTGCCAGAAGAACGCTCCGCTGCACGTCGTTAACATTCAAAAGTGTGGTGACTCCAAGCACATTCTCGTGCTTATGGTGGCTGGTCCAGCCGTCGAAAAGTATCTACAACTCGCAGATTGCAAGGCTGACAGATACCTCCGTTAGTCCGCCTTCCCAATACCGATCCCCTGCTGACCTTTTCCCGTACTACCATTATTGGCTTTGGCTGCTGAGCTAGGTGGTTCTTAATCTTCTCTGTGGCGTCCGCCCCTTTCTTCAACATGTCGTCAGTAAGAGTCTTGGGGCAAAATAAGACTTGCGATGCATCGAAGCCCGACCTATTTTCTGCCCCCACCTGAGCCGCGACCTCAACGAATTTCTTGAATGCTGCTATCTGGGTTCCGTTGAAGCTTATACCAGGCACGCATGCCAGCAGATCAACCAACGCCGCATTCACAGCAGATTTCTGATTGGAATTGACCTTCCGTTTCTGGTAAAAGTACGATGCTATTGGTGGCTGATCCCTTTGTTCGTCGCATCCGTTGTCGATATGGCATAGAAGCGCCGAAGTATTTTGCTTCCTCATAGAGTAAACCTGTCCACATTTCTTGCAGACCGCGCGCTCTGGGTAGACAAACCCAGTTCGCTTGCACCGAATGACATGAAACTGCTCCCACACCCTGCTTGGCTTTGAGCGGCGATTTTCTTTGGGGCAAGTGTCGTATTTCTCGTAATCTAGCTTAGACTTGCACGGCGGTTCAGCGTAGGCATCAGGTGGAGCCTCAACAGTTCTTGCTGAGATCTGAGAGGGGCGGGAGAGAGTACCAGAGGAGCGAGGAGGAGAATCACCGGAGCGAGAGGGAGTACCAGAAGAGCGACAACGAGCACCAGAGGGGCGAGAAGGAGCACCAGAGGAGCCAGGAGGAGCACCAGAGGGGCGAGAAGGAGTAGCAGAGAAGCGAGGAGGAGCACCAGAGGGGCGAGAAGGAGTACCAGAGAAGCGAAGAGGAGCACCAGAGGGGCGAGAAGGAGCACTAGAGGAGCCAGGAGGAGCACCAGAGGGGCGAGAAGGAGTAGCAGAGAAGCGAGGAGGAGCACCAGAGGGGCGAGAAGGAGTACCAGAGAAGCGAAGAGGAGCACCAGAGGGGCGAGAAGGAGTAGCAGAGAAGCGAGGAGGAGCACCAGAGGGGCGAGAAGGAGTACCAGAGAAGCGAGGAGGAGCACCAGAGGAGCGAGAAGGAGCACCAAAAGAGCGTCGAAGAACACCACGAGAGCAAGAGTGCGCTTCAGGAGAGCTGTGCTCAGAAGACAGATCCATAATGGGTGCTATCCCAGTTTCAATCCTGCGACGCTTTCTGCCACCAGAGAAGCCACCTCCAATACCGGGTGGAAAGAATCCGGAACCCTGACCTCGCGGCGTTGCTGCATTCGATGTAGGCATGAGAAAGCGAATGGTACGTTGTGCTACGACAAACGAAATCAGATGGTATACGCAGGAAAACTTCTAGGCTATGTGCTTCCGAAGCAGTGCTTCGTTTAACGATGAACGGCGCGAAATGCGCCGTGACACGGCGGCTAACGGCCGCCGGCCATGCAGCTTGGCTACTATTTCAACAACAATTAGCAGCGCTACACTATAGCGGCTCAACTATTTGTAGCAGTAACTCAAAACTTATAGGCTGTATGTCACGGGTTTGGGTTTCAGTGGTTTCATTGTGCGCAACTTTTCAAATAGAAAATACATAAAAATGCCGGTGCCTTGGATCGAACCGGCGCCCTTGAATCGAGAGAATCGATTCGAGATCGATTCTCGGTTCCCGGTATCGACATTGAGCCAATCGATTATATAACTTCTGGGACCGAATCGATTCGAGATCGAGCCTCGAAACTCGAAAAGTTCAGAAGTATGTTCTGCTTGGCCCATAGATATTTAGTAACAGCATCATGGCCTTCTAGAGCAGACAAAATTTCACGGACGAAGGTAGAACCGCTTCTATCATCGTCCTCACCCAAGAACTTAGAGGTCGACGACGACTTAGTCGCAATGTTAGAGGCAACATCATAGTCCTTCATGGAGATCTTCGATTTGCACGGCTTAGACTTACAACCTGGGCACCTAGATCGATAGGATTCCTATCATAGGAAGGTACCGCACGCTCAGCTGGGACATAGAACCGACCATTAGTAACGCCATTCCGATAACAAAGTCCATAAAGAGATCGAGAAGAGTTGCTCGATTTCTTAGAGGCAGGATGGCTTCCTTCGCTGTCGGACGAAGACAACAATGATGAGCGCCTAGAGTGCGAAGAAGATCTTGAAGTACTAGAACCACTCGAGCTAGGAGAAGAGGAAGGTGACTTTGACAGATGTCGCCTATGATGATGTCGAGGACGGTCAGCACGTCTCCGAGAAAGATTAGAACTCCTACCGGTAGAGTTGTGATCTTGTGGACTATGCTTACGTAGATGGCGAGAAGATCGCCTATCAGAGGCACTGTGCCTATATGACTGTCCTACAACAGGACTAGGTTCTTGACGTCGGTGGTGATGTTCACGTCTAGATGACTTGGTACACCTCGAAGATCGATCGCCAGAACCATTAGAGCGATGTGGATCTTGAGGCTCATAACTCGAGTGCTTAGAATGCCTCGATGACTTTTCGTTAGAGCATGACCGGGGTTGAGACCCTCCAGAATGGGCCTTGAGAGCTCCCAACAGAGGTGGAGCTGGACCGTCAGAAGGCATAGCAATAGAGAAGGGAACTAGAGTGAGTTGCCCTTCAGGACCTGGCACCATTCTCCAATTGAAATTGGTAGCGCCTTCGGGTAGTTGAGCAGCTTGTCCTGTTAAAGGTATAGACTGCTGTAGTAGACCACCCTGTACCATGGCAATCTGAGTAGACGATTCAGAATTGCCTTGACCATTAGCAACCATAGTTAATGTGTCGGTAGAAACAGCTTTCTTAACATTACCATCATCAGTAGCCGTGTCGAGAACTTCAGGTTCTAGATCACTACCGACAGGTAGATCATCATCAGATAAGACCTCATTGTTGATGTTGTCTTCACTCTCGATGGAGCGTTTAGATAGGGTCAAGCTTCCAGATCGAGGACGACCAATCTTAGACTTAGACTTGTCGTTAGCTTTGCTCTTAGAAACAGCTCTAGAGGCAGGCGTACGGACAACATTACCAGTCATATAGACAGTACCGAGATCTATGGTAGTGTCTAGACCACTAACAGAAGGAATGCTAGTAGTATAACCAATATCACAACGTTCAGAACTAGAGCCGAACGTACGAGTTCGACTTGATTGCCTTGAAGGTGGTACAGATAGAGCATCCATTGGGGAAGCAATTGAACCGATCACACTTTTAACAGAACGTTGACACTCGTGGGACGAGCTGTCAATAGATGGATATCTCATAGCCTTGCACTCAGCGTCTAGAGGTTGATCTTCTTGAAGTGGACGTACTTCCATAGACTGATCAACATGTTCAGTCGAAATACAGCATCCATAGACGAGGATACTAACCGTGGTGACATAACTGACGTCATTGGGAGAAGTAGACCGACCCATAAGAACGTAGAGATTCATTAGAGTCAAATACGGCACAATGGTGCTGTATGTTATCCGCTCTAGATGGTAGAGAACGAACACGCCTTTCAGAGGAAGCCATAACAGATGGCTTCTTGATATCAGCGTTGCGAAGATCGGGCATAGACGTTGATCTAGTGCGCATAGGGGCTCGGAAAGATATCCCGGTAGAATGTACGGGACGACTTAGAGTAGAACTAGAAGAAATCAGTAGTGGTCTTGAAGTAGATGTACTTCTTGGTGGTTCAGTCGCGTCGTTAGACGGAGGTGTAGAGGGAGTTAAACCTGTTGAATCATGAGGAAATGCACAGCGATCACGGTTAGACAATTTCATTCCAGATCTAAGTAACATCCCGTGTAGCTTGTAACACGATCAGGTGAGGCAATAGAGATTACGATGCGATACTAGTGAGGACTGGTTAACTCAAGTAGAACTAGAGTTAGGATGAGGTAGCAGATCACACAATCAATCACTGGACTCAGTCCAGTCTAACAATTACCACTAGAATACTAGCTTCCTAGCTTTAAGTAGCTTAGAGAGAACCAGAGACGGATCTAACCGTTTCTAGTATCCAAAACCGTTAGATAGATGCATCCGAGCGAGAATAATAATATTATAGTTCAACAATAGAATACGAGGCGAGCGAGATCTTTGTCGCGCTGCCACGATGGGACAGCACAGCAACTTACCTGTCCTCTCCTTCAGATGACAAAGTCTTTTTAAATCCTCCAGGATCTTAATGTAACCATTCCATGTCTATATGCTGGTGCTCCAGATAATGTTAGTCTATGTGTTAATTGTAGTCGGGGTAGTAGCATTAAGATTCCAATAATCGACTAAATTAGTCATGCATTGTAAGTGACCTTCAACTCCACCATATCGATAGTACAGTACTTCCATCTTGATATGTCCGACGAAGATGAGGTAGAGATGGCAGCCCTCCGACAAGGTCGGGGGTTCTCCAGTCGTGGGAAGGCCATACGCCGGCAAGAGTAGTACGGGTGGCATGGGTCAGGGGGGCTCTTACTACTCATCCAGGTTGGCGTTGGAAAGTCGCATGGGTTAGTGAGTATATGCAATCACTATATTGCTAATCTATCGTGTTGCTAGTGAGATGATCCCCTTGCATAACAGTGTGTGCATTAGTGTTCGGGTTTCGTCCATTGTTGATAGACAGTATTGGAATAGGTCGACTGGAATGGCCAGTACCTCATCCAGTTCTGGTATGGGAGGAGAAGGAGGAGGGTCGTGGCTGCTCCCACCTCCTGAGATGCATCTCCCTATGCAGTTCGGTAAGCAGGGCAACCGAGTGAATACCGAGGCAGTCCATGAAGAGTAATACCACCGTTTGGTCCTCGTATTTGTACGCGCAATCTAAAGAGCCCGTTTCATGCCAGCGCCATAGCTTTCCAACTAGAGCTCAAACGGAACTGAAATTTCGTATATAGGCTCTCCTGACACTACGATATCGCTGAAGTATGTCAGGGATCAAATTCTCGAAAAAATGTTTCGGCCACATTTTACACCAAGGTTGTAGGTATAGGTATAGGAGACAATAGTATTAGGAGAGCCAATAGTCTCAATTGCAACTTGCTCAACGCTCTAGCTGGAAAGCTATACCAGTGACATAAAACGGGCTCTTCAGATTGCGCGTAGTACTGTAGCATCCATTCTCTTTAGGCATATGCGAGTACCTCTCGACGAGCCTCCAACAGTGGCAGCACAAGAACTAGCTGGGGGTGGATCGGATGAGGATGATATCGTTCGACGAGAGGCACCGTGAGTTGAAGGTAATCGAATATGGAGTTACCATTGCTGACCATTTCAGAAGCCGTATACCCGATACCCATGAGATATGTCTGGACCTTTGTCCTGAATCGAGGCATAAGTAATGTTATCTTCTCCGACAGCAATGGGCATTCCTTATGCCTCTAGGTCTCTGACTACGTTAACGATGGACCCTAAGGGTAGCCGGATGGTCACTGGAGGGACAGATGGCGTGGTTAGGTAGTATATGGGAGAAGGATGTTTTGGGGGACTTATATAATCAACTCCCATTAGGATAGGCGATGAATAGTCAATGACTGCTAAAGCATCGAGATGGCGCTCTTAACCCTCTTGGTTGATAGTTGAAATAGGTGTTAGTATACGCAATGTGGGTCACAATTCACGAGTAGACCGTGTGAATTTTAGCAGGGTTTTGGAAAGCGTGGTAGGTCCACAACGGTAATGATAGCATCTTTCAACTTCCTATTGGATTTTGCACTAGCCTTTGTATACTTCTGATTATTATAGACAACGCAGTAGAACGTTGAATAGTATAGAACATGAGAATAGCAGTCGCACTGTCGTGTAGTAGCCTTGTGTAAGCTGTGGGGAAAAATATACTGAATTTTGTCAACTACGAGTATTGATGATAATGAGGGAATTTTGGGTAATTTCTATGAGTTCCTGATTTGCTTTTGAATGCCATCATCACTCGTCGCGTGCCAGTCTCTATAATGTAGTGTATAGACTTTTGCGCGTCTCAGCTGGATAGACCAAAGTTATATTCTAATACTGTATGCAGGTATTGGGATCTAAATGGTATCAATGCATTGGACCCGAAGCCCTTTAGAGAGTTTACCCCACAAGAAGGATATCCAATAAACTGTGTGAGGTAGTGAGGCTCTATGATGAGAGTTATCAGGCTCATCACCTCGCCTCAGGTTTAGTAACAGTGGTGGGCAAGTATTGGTATTACCTGCAGATGCTAGGTGTCGTATGTAAGTCCTCATCACTCCTTACTGCTCCTTGCAAGCAGCACTAGAGTAATGGTGTCCCTTCAGTCATGATCGTAACGGTACAAGTACTCCTATACAGCAGACTATAAAGGGTGATCAGTACATTAGAGATCTACAGCATACTAAAGGCCATACTGCTACCATTACTGATGGTATTATCTCTTACTATTGGAGACATCCGACTTGTATGATATCGCATGAGCATCTCAGGTCATTGGCATCCAATGGATCCCTCTAAATGGATAACATCAAGCCTTGACTGCACTATAAGAATATGGGATATCAACACTCCAGGAACCGGCATGGTGAGAGCAACCACTTACCGCTCCGCCTCTAAAATTCGAATCTATGTTAGGATATGTGGATACCCTGCATTCATACACTCAAGTGTGTGGATAAGCGTGGTATATGTGGTGGTCGGGGCGGTGTTGAAAACCAACTTTTCATCAATTCGTGCGGGTGAGTTATCGTAGTCAATATATGATGAGTTTATTCCATCTTTAGGTTCAAACCCTATGATGGTGGCTTTATTGTTGCAGGGTGTAGTGATGGCAGTATTCAGCTATTCAATGAACGCAAGAGGTAATATGGCCTTCTTGGAACCTATCATAACAACACTCTCATACTATCAGGTACGGTAAGGCTGATATGATAGCTCGGACAGCCCATACCGATGTGGTTACCGCTGTTAAAGTACTAGAGGATGGTCATAGGATGCTGAGTAGAAGCTTGGATGGTAAGCCATTATCGAGTCCGGCCTTCTGGGGACGAAACTCAACCATTACAGTATCGAGTTATTCTCATCCAACGTTGGCTGTATAGCAACGTATCATTGCCTAGTGCTTGCATCCCTTAGTAGATTCCTCTCTCCATATCGTGGGCCGCCTTCAGGTACGATGAAGATGTGGGACTGTCGTAAGCTGAGGTCTGCAACCCCAGTACGGACCTGGGACAACTTACCTTGTACTGACGAGCACACTGACATCACCATATCGCCGGACGAGTCTATGGCCCTCACTGGTATTCCCTTTCCTCTACCACCACCGTAATAACCATATAATTCTAGGTACTGGTGATGGGAGAGTAGTGGTATACGACTTGCAATCAGAGGCTGTAGAGCCGCTAAAGAGCTATACCTTCCGAACACAGAGCGCTGTGAGGGTAATATGATGATCGTGCTAGTAGTAGTAGTGCAGTCGACCTATATCCATGAGTGTTACATCGTTCTGAAGGCGTATGAGTATCCTACTGTGCATCCATGCTGCATGTCAGACCTTCTGGCATCCAGTACTACAACAGATTGTAGTGGCTTGCAGTGATGGTAATGCATACTTCCTATATGATCGATATCAATCAGTAAATGGTGAGTAGTACGGTCGGATGGTGATCATCAGAACAGCTGATGATGATTGTAGGTGCCTTGCTTTTCGCCCAGCATAGTGTACCAAAAAAGAAGGATATCGAAGAACAGTATATGCCACAGAAAGTATATAACTATGATGAGATGGTCCAAAGGGGAGGTCAATTCCGAGAGACCCGTAGTGGTAAGCTACGTCGGACTAGGGATGCCGATAAACGACGAGATAAGCAGCGTAGAGAGAGAATGGGTATACCTGATCCGGATGAGCAGCATAAGGTACGGAAGATGGTCACCCTCTAGGATGGTGGTGTTGATGATAGTATTGTAGATTAAACCGGCCGCACCTCCACCAGAGAGTACGGCAGAGGAGACGATCTTCTCTAATAAGCTGGGTATCGAAAAAGAGAAGTATATTGATGAAGACCCCCAGAAGGTAAAATGGTAGAAATGCTCTTGTTGGGATTCGAACTTGCGTACTTTGGCAGACACTCCTCGCTGTTGAAACTGAGAAGGGTGATTCCTTCGTCAATCAAGCCTATGCGAGAACCCAACCTCAGAATATACTGGATTACTCTGATGTCAAGAGTGCAGTAAGTCCTCTTAACGATTTTCGCTCTAGTTTCCTGTTCTCTGTCTCATCCTGTGTAACGGTTTGCCCTCCAGTGATGAGGATCTAGTAGATCGTACATGTTCTTATCGCTACGGTGAAACCGTCTTTGAATGTATTGAACTCTATGATGATCATTCTGGCCTGTTGTTGTTGTTGTTGTTCAGGGTGATCGATTGTTGAGTAAGAAGCGTTATTGCCCCAAGTGCGGTGTGAAGATGTGCACTTGTGGTTACTTGACTGCTCTAGAAAAGGAAGAGGCAAGGAAGAAACGTCGAACTGAAGTAGCATAAGGAGAGTATCTTTATCATTAAAGTGTTTGTTGACATAAATTGGGATCCTAGCCCGCAGGGAGGCCCTCACCATCACGCTTTGATCATCCACACCTTTATGGGCAGTCTTCAGCATCGTGTCATTTGCCCGTATGTATCTACATTTCTGATCACCAGTAATGATGATGATACCTGATGCATCATTTCGATTCATGATCATGGATCATTCGGCCTCCTAACATTCGTGTAGCTTCCGCCTAATGTCATGTCCATACTAATCGAGTAGACTGGCCTCGTGGTCTTCCTCGTAGGCCTAGTTATCCTCTTGCATAGCATACTCATGCGTCAATCTTCCACATCCTACTACTACTACTATTCTGCGTGTCATCCCTCTCCACCTCACAGCTTTGACAAACCTCCGCGTGTTCTGTCGGTGCACCTCCGACCGCATTTCTATTTTATTGATTCGGTTAACCTATCTAGTAGGTGTAGTCGCTCACTAGGGGCACGGTGCAATACTACCACCTGACCTCATGCAGGTGGTACCGTTGCAGGAGTATATCACCGTGGTACATTCCTTTACATTTGCAGGCTGTAGTGCTGCCCGTGCTCCCCTCTATGTGCTGCATATATAATTTTCATTCTAGTTTTAGCCGTCCTATGTCCCGGACGGCAGCCCTCTCCCAAAGGCAATGCCCAATCACACCCGTGGCTTTGGCGTATGCCCTACTATTCGTTAACTTACTCATTAGCGCAGGTTGGGAAGTACTCACTAAACTGGTTCTTTCGAAGTTGGATATTAATTTATTAACTCTAGCCTTCTATCGGCAGTGTGAGTCGTCGTATTACACGCGCTTTATTAATCATCTCTGTGCTCCTCTCAGTTTTCGGTTGTATAGTACTACTAGTAATAGTTGATCGCTCTTTCAAGCTACCAAGGAGGGAAGATGTGATACCTTTGGTCATCCTAGGAGTCCTCACCAGTCTGGCTATTTTATCCTTCTTACAAGGTAATCAGTACACTGGACAGCAGCAGCAATAGTGTCAGACCATAGCCAGGTGTTAAGCTCACTACCCCACTTATCTGTGCCCTCCTTCACCCGACATTGCTAGCCTTCTGTTATGCCTTGGGCATCCTTCAAGGAAGTGAGGTCTACTCTCGTCCTAAAGTCATCGGAGTAGTCCTGAGTGTCGGGGCTGCTATGGCTTCCTCAATCCTTGGGGAGGAATTCTACAATGGTAAATGAGGCGGGTCTCGGTGGGCCTTGCCAGTAATAGGCTTGTTGTGTAGATACTCACTCTGTGAATTGGGACATCCTGTTGGGAACGCTAATCGTCTTTGCCGCAGTATTTTTTGGTGCAGCGATTGTGGTATACCAGAGGGAGTCAATCCATTTACCTTTTGTATATGTGGAAGGTCGTTGTCTCTTGTTGGACTCAGGCGTTATCTCAACCTCCTACTCCTCTCAGGTTATGCCTACCTTTTTGCCTCTATGACGACTCTGATATTCATCGCCATGTAGGAATGCTTTACTCCGGATCCATTGACATAGGTTCCTCCCAGCTCACGATTGGGTTGCATGTTTTCTTCTACTTCGACCAGCCCCTGCCCCGACATGACACTAGACCTTGGTCTCATCGGGGATGATGGCCGAGCGGTCCATCTCGAAGGTATTTGTCGTTCTCAATTGCTACCATGCCGGCTTCCTTTCGTGTGTCGTTACTGGGTGCTGAATGTGCTCTCTCAGGTTGGCTGGTGTTACTCTACGGCGTGTTGTTGATGTCTTGTTTCCTTTACTGCAGTATGAACTGGGCCAATCGACAGACCTCTCCCTCTGTGGTGAGAATGCTTGCCTCTCTCCAGATCTTAAATTTATATCTTGCCTCTCCAGGTCGCAAGTTTTGCAACCCTCCAGCCTATCGGGACCGGTGCACTGCAATATTTGGTAACTGGCAGGCAAGTCGTCACACTTCCACAGGTAGAGTATATTATCCCATTCCCAATAAGTTATGGCATGTGGATCAGCAGGTTGGCATGTATCTATTCGTGATCATCGGTGTTGTACTCGTATCGTATGGGCGGCCACCATGCGACGAGGAGCTTCTCAAGTCAAGCGGTAGCGAGAAGGAAGAAGTGATTGCTTGCGAGCTCGAGAGTGGGACGTCGACTGATGATGATGATAAACTTGAATGAGAGCTCAGCATTTCGACACACTGTGCGAATTACCACTGGCGTACCGGGCCGCTGTAAACGCCTCTGATTGCTCCTACTCCGGGAGAATCTCTATTCTTTGAGTCCGTTAGGGAATGGTGTTTTTGATCCCTTCGGCTCTGGCCCACTCCATCGTAGCCCACGAGAACCTCTTGCCTTCGATCTCAACGTATGGCTCACACACAATCACCATTGTCTTCCTGACAGACGGTGTAGACCTTATCATTTACCTGTTGTTGAAAACTAAGCGGCGGCTCAGACAAAACTCGATCCCACCTCATTGCTCAATTGCTGCCCTCCTAATCCACCTTATTCATGCGTAGTCGGGACTTGTTGTGTTCTATTCAATGTGACAGGTGGGACTGTCTAACAACACTCACTTGAGTATCTCTATGAAAGACGTGTAAGTCATATCTAAGGATGCTATGCTAGGAACAGCCCTTGACCCTTCATGCGGGTTGCGATTGACATCTTACTGCTCACGTCTCCTCCTCCCCTGGATACCATCGGCCATGCACACAACTTGTCAGGCCAGGTGGATGGTCAAGTCTTAAGCTACATGACCACTCGCTGTCGACAGGCTATGGTCTTACTGAGGCAGATCATCTCTAACATCAAATTCAACGCACTCAGCCTCAGCCTGAGGCAGACTGCCTCACATTACATGGATCTTGACTTGACCGCCATAGCAGGCGGTTCAACTGTGAAGGACTAAGTCGTCTAGCTATCGATTTTCCTTTCACCTTATACCATCACTGATTTCATGTGTCGCAGAAGCCTTCCTCATCACTCGCGGAGACATGAGGCATCTCAAGCAAAAGTTATTGGCAACTCTGTTAGTTCCATCGTGGATGGGAATATATACCTTATGCCACCGATATGTCCGTACGACACTCAGGGTATCGACCGGGGAATGAGATGTCCTTCTCGTACAGAAGGTTTGATCAGGCGCTAATTCAATTGTGCGCCATACAAGTCTGCGTTGTTATCGAGAGTAACACACATCTGTTCTCTCATAAGGCAGTTGTCCGTACTATGAGATAACACAACACCACGGCCAAGTGTATGTTTCGGGAACGTAGTACTGATCATTTACAGACGATAACAATAGTTTGGCGGCAGCGGCAAGGTATCGTCGTCAAGTAACTTTCAAGCGGTTGAGTTAGATGAATAGTATGTTGAATCTGGCAGTGATTATGATGAGATTATCCCAAGTTGAGTTGGAATGTGTGATAGATTGCGTTACTGCTTATAATGAACGATAGTAACGCGGCTGAGTACGTTCGCTGACTGCGACCTCCTGCGAAAACCGGATACGAATCGGCGAAGCGGGGCAATGCTCTTACACTGTCGTATTACAGTAGCTTCCGCTCGAAGACCATCTTCCATCTTGGCAGATTTCTGAGTATCACTTGCTGGGTTACCGAAGGTCTCCGGTGAGGAAGGACTCTCTCTGAATGACGAACACAGATGCATACGACTCTTGACGATTGGGATGATTGGGATTACACTTACAACGAAGCATAATCAGCAGCCTCACTATGGCTCTC